ACATAGGCCCAAGATAGCCAACATATCCCCAACATATGCCCAACATAGCCTCCAAGATGGCTCAACATAGGGCCAACATAGGCCAACATGGGGCCAACATAGGCCCAACATAGGCCCAACCTCGGCCAACATAGGCCTAACATAGGCCAACATAGGCTCAACATGGCCAACATAGGGCCAAGATGCGCACCAGATAGCTTAACTTGTGCCCCAGACCCCGGCCCCCGTCTCCAACGCCGAGCAGTTTCCCACCTTGCCCCCACCCAGGGCCCTGTACGCCCCCGATAGCTGCACTGTGCCGGCGCCCGGCTGTTAGGCGTAAGCCTTTAAATCCGGCCAGGGGCCCAAGGGGCCCCACCTGGCCGTGTCCTTCCTCTCCGAAGGAGAGAGGGGAGTCCCCCTCCACCACCGACCCCTGCTCGACCCCACAGGAATCGTGTGTTTTACAGTGTTTTCTGCTTCTTCCACTTTTCCGCTCTTGGGGCTCCAGATGGGCTAACATGGCCTAACATAAGCCGAAAATATGCCCAAATAATGCTGGAAATGCGTGCGGCACCGGGGTGCTTCGTCTGCATCGTGGGCGGCTGCTGGGCTAACAACAACAACAACAACAACTACTACTACTACTACTACAACTACAACAACTACAACAACTACAACAACTACAACCACTACCACCACCACAACGACACGCACACTACCACGACTGCAACCAGCCCTTTGCTTGGGCCCCTGGCCGGCTGTCGGGCGTAAGCCCTTAAATAAGCATTTGAATCACTTGTTTTCATGCTTCAAATATAGAAGACAAAATCCACTACAAATGAACTGCAATATCTATTTGCCATTGGTTCCAATTGAATCCCTTTGAAGTCCTTTCGAACTTCAATAATCTGATTGATGTTTAATTTAATGTGTTTCCAAATACACGTTATTGAAAATGTTCAAATTTGTAAATCGGTTTAAATCAATGAACGTATTGATTTTCAATGTGTGTGTCCAGTCAAACGGCATTTTGGGTTATATGGCTTTTAATCAATTGAGTTACTGACTGTTACTGTAACGTGTCTCTGAATGAGATTCATCTAAAAAGCCGTTTAAAAGCGGTTGATGTGCATGCAATTGGGTTCCAATCAAAATCTCAAATCTTTCTAAATCCGTCAGAATCAGTGAAAGGATTGGACTTTAATTAATTTGTGTTCAATTACAGTTTCGTGCAAACAAAATGTGTCAAACAAGATGTATTTTGATTTATTTTTGGGGGTTGTTGTGGCCACCTGTCAAACCCTGTTTAAAACCAATTGGGTTGTTGATGTTTCATTTGCTTCCAAACAAAGTTAACTTTAAGTTCACAAAACATAAGCATGTAAAATGTTACTTCTGTACGTGGTCACCAATTCATGGTTTGACAAACTCTTGGAAATCAATGAAATATGTTGATGCTTAAATGGTGTCCAACTGGAACCTTTTCAGAAGAGCTTTCAACATCAAGTAGAATATGGCTTTCAATGTGCTTTCAATTAACAACGTGTTAAAATAGTTCAAGCAAATACGCTAAACTGCTGATGTTTAATGATAAGTATGAACAATGCATTTTGTGATTTCAATGGTTTCTCTAATAGAGATAATATTTCTATAAATGAATGTTCAATCTGAAAGCACATGTTTGATTGAAACCGGTTTCCAATTGAAATGTCCTTCAATCGTTCCTTAAATCAAGTCCTTTTATTTGATGATTCGTGTGCCAAAAAAGAAAAAATGACAGTATTAGCGGGCACTAGCCCCTTCTATATACCAGTTGGCTCATACTTCGCATACTTCGGACAACAGGGCACCCCCGTCAGAGACCCAGAAAGAGGCACCAGTCATAAGCACCAGTTGGAGGCACTTCGATGAGAAGATCTTCTACCCATGATGTGAATGTAGAGAAGATCTAACCCCGCCTGTCTGCAGAATAGCTTTCCTGTTCTTATGGCTTGGGAGGGTTGATTCTGTTTTATTCATCAGTCTACCATCTTCCCTTGACCGGTTTTCCCACGGGAAGCCACAGGTGGGAAGCGGAGCACCAGCTGAGCATCGAACGATCGATCTGAGGATCAACCGTGGAGTGGGGTCTGATCTTCAACAGTGGAAACTGTTTGTCCGAGACAAGATCATTGACATAACAGGGGTCTTCATTTGAAGACCCTGGCTTGACAGGGGTGATCCAGGACGAAGACCGAACGGAGGTTCCATCCGAAGAGGAACCTCCGTGCAGACATCCAGAGACTGAGGCGCGAGGCGCGCCGCTCTGCGGCGGCACGCCGGTACGCGGTACGCGGTGCGGATCCTTTACGAACAGAGCGGTTCCCACGTCCATGTGATATGTTCGGAGTGTATACAGGTCGTGCACCCCCTGTAGTGACCTACCAAAAGCTTCGGAAAGTTCTTGGAAAAAGAATTGAACAGCTGGAATGTCCGGAGCAAACAGAAATCATATCAGGCCCGTTCATTTTCCAGCTCCTTCATGCCATCTCCTCATCGTTCGCCTGCGGTGCCAGTCTCGCAAGACTCTCGGTGCCAGTCGGCAAGAATATATCTATGGCCTACCCACGAAACCATGAACAGCAAATTGCCCGGGGAAAAAAAGAAACAGCACTTCATCCCAGGTCATCCCACGAAATCCAGGTCTTCCCCCCAACACCGAAGAACGGATTGGAAGTCTCTTGTGTAGAATCCCCCAAAGAAGTGAGAACAGAAGAACAAATAGTTGGAATTGTTCAATCTATATCATCCAATCCCCCCAAAAAAGTAACTGAAGTTTGCCGGTGTGTGTGTGTGTGTGTCCCTTAAGCCTTGGTGAGCGAGTGATTCTGCATGCTTCACACAAGAGGTTTTGAGAGCTCTTCGGCCTCGGGACGTCCACCAGGAGTATCCTGAAGCATGTGGAATGAGTGTGGGGATACCCTCTGGCCTAATGGATAGACTAGTCTATTTCCCGAACCTTCCAGGAGGTCGTCGCCTGTCTCACTGTCTCCCTATTTTACACACCCATGTCTCACTTGTTCCAGCACGAGCAGAAGACCTGTCCAGCACGAGTCTCCGCAGACCCCGCTGCCAACCACAGAGGTGACTTCGCACTGAGCGCTGCCAATCCATGTGGTTCTTCTACCCCAAATCCTTGTTTCGGCACTCCCGGTTTCGCACTCCTGTCCGGTGGACGCCTGGCATACACCGCGTGGACCCGCATGGCACACCATGGCACCCTGAACTTCCCCATCCACCGGCACGAGCCAAGTGACAGCGTGGCACCGTCTCGCTCGCTGCGACGACGACCGCGTAGGATCTGCACTGGGAGACCCCCAGAGACCGACCAGTCGGCCGTCCGACCTTTGAGTCGCCCGAAACAGACCACACAAAGACAAACGATCCCCGAATAGATCGGTGGCACGGTGTCTACATTTTTAGTGGGATCTACTTGTCTATCTATTTGAGGGTCTATATTATATATATACAAAACTCTGAAAGTCCTAAAATGTGTGACCTTGCATGGATGGATAGCGTATGATAGCAGTTCGCATGCGTGAAAGAAAGTATCCGGTAGAGACCCATTCCCTCAACAGTCAGGCCTTAGTGGGAAATTTAAAAGAAAGCTTCTGAACATTGAGGAGTTCTGCTTCATGGAACCTGGGTGTGGCTCAAGATCAGGGTACCATCCAAAACGCCCTGGGAAAAGCAAAACTGGATCAAAGCCTCTGGGTACTTCACCCTTCAGGCCACCAAATGCCGGTACTTGACGGAAAGGAACACAAGTCGACCATGCAACACATCCAACACTGGCGCGACATTCTGAATGTCCAGTTCATGTGCCTTGGAAGTTCATTGGGCACCCAGGATCCAACGACGCGCGGGAGAAAAAAGTCGCCGTGCCCATGCCGAATCAACCGTGGTCGGTCATGCGTTCCCCTCATCGTTTGGAGGTCCAAACCCCACCCTCGCATCTCCGACCCCCAGACCAGTCGAAGAAAGGAATCCATCCCTGAATCCCAAGTTATCTCAAGGTTCCAGAGTTCCACGCATCTCCCAACCGCGCAGGGCACCCACCGGCCCCAGACCCCAGCACCATGGTATCCTGCTTCAAGACCTCCCAGCACCATCTGTCCAGGTTTTGCTCCTCTTTTGCGCCTTCTGCCTGTCCTTCTCCCACGTCGAACGACGAGGACGTGAGTCCGACACGATGGATGCAGACCTCAGGTCCGGAGGAAACCCGGCACCCATGGGTATTCCACATGAGGTGAACTAGTGGTTCTAGTGGTTCTGACTCAAAATGAAGGCCTGGAAAGGCCTTGGTGCTTCCTTCGGCAAGGTGCCAAGAGGGCGTTCCTGGATTCGCTGCATGATGCTTTGCGGCTGCATTCTGCCTGGTGCATTCCAGTTTTGACCTCAATCTTCTGGGTACTCAAATCTACTAGGGGCTCCTGGCCTTACTACTAGGAGCAAAGGACGCTACGAACGGGGCTCCTGGCATCGCTACCAACGGAGCATTCTTACTACGAACGTAACAACATGATCGAGTCGATGGCCCTCTGCAAGTTCGGAAGCTGCTCAGATGGATCCCCGAAGGCAAATCCGTCGGCGAAAGCGGCGATTTCTGGTGGAAAAATGCAGGTCGAACCCGACCTCTTCCAGGGAGCCTTTCATTGCAGGCGCGGGGTGCTTAAAACCTCCCTCGTCTGTCTGGCTCTCAACTCCTCAACTCCGCACCCATCAGCGTCACCGGGTGAAACACGCGCCATTGCGCGTCCGCCGCGCACAGTTCTGGGGTCCCAAGAGGGGGAGTTTTCAAAAAAAAACGGAGGCCTAAATTGAGCACCTCTACATATAGCGAAATGAGACTTTTGATTCCGGGATTCGTACTTGCAAGATGTTTTCATTGACTGTGGACAGCACTCCAATCTTCCTTCACTGATGAAGTTCGTCTGGTAAATGTCAGACTGATAGAAGTGCTGTGCATGAAGGTGTTAGTAGTGTTTGCAATGCGCGTGATGCTGCTGATGTTTCATGCATCAGCCGCATTTCAACTGAAAAATGAACGTGCTGAAATAGGAGGACTGGTTTCAACAAAATCTCTTCATCCTCAAGCCGCACAGACCAAAACAGGACCTCAAGCCGCACACGGATTTCGCCCCAGTCAGCCCGCGCAAGGCCAGGAAGAGGTCCGGGGCTCACGAGGCTCACGGGCAGCAGCCAGCCTTGCGAGGCGACTCTTAGCGTCGATCCGAGTAGCGATGCCCTTTGTTCCTACTAGCGTCCTTGCTCCTGGTAAGGGGAGCTTAGGAGCGAACCATGGTGGACTGTGTGCTGCAAAGTACCTGAAGAAAGCACTCTGAAGAGTGCTTTCCCTTTTCCTTTCCCTCTCAACTCACTTGTGCCCAACTTCCGGCCAAACAGCTTCGCTGGTCGTCTTTTCGCTCAACCGGTCCAACACCTTTCGCTCTCCTCCGCCGCCACGACAAAGCTCCGCCGTCACCGGTGGCGTCACGCTCGGACCCAGAGCCTTGGGCTGGCCAATGGAGCTCTGAAGCTTGAGCCCCGCCGAGTCTGAGAGCTGCTTCTCCCGCTTCAGCCTGAGGCGAGAAGCATCGTACGCGTCGGCGTCAGGCATCGAGCGAGCTGCGTGGCTTCAGTAGGCGTTCGGAGCACACAGGTGCAGTCGAAAAGTTTGGGGGATGGTGGGGGGCTGTGGGTGAGATGAAGAGTTTTTGGGTGGAATTCTGGGGGATTCTGAAAGGGGGAAGTGCTTGTTCTTCGCGTTGCATGGACGTGATGAGAAGCGTGCGGAAGTTCGGCGACGCTTTGGGAAGTGCTTCGTGCGTGGGGCTGGTTCAGATTCCAGCCCCGACACTGTGCCATCTGTGCCAACACCAAACCCTTCACCCAAAAGCTGGGTTTTTTTCACCAAAGACGAAGAAAGCTGGACCAATGGACGGTTTGAAACCTACGGGTGTCACCCATCTGGAAAGCCGGAGCGCCTTGAGGTGTTGCCTTTGACAAGCCGACTCGTCTCCCAGCGATGGGGCTGGGGGTAGAGACTGTCCAGGCCGCATGGACTGTCCAGGCCAGGTGGATCGTCTGGTGTTTTGTTTCGTGGGCCGCTCGTGCCGAGCGGAGTTCGTCTCCACGGCTGCGTGGACAGGTGGAGCCTGATACACTTCTCCGCCACAACGTGGAAGAGGAACCTCCACAACTCACGCCAGGAATGTCGGATTGGGCAAACCAGATTGTCACAGAGTGGGATAGGAAAGAAAAGAAAAAAATGCGCTCTGAGAAAAAAATGCAACTGTTGATTTCAAATTTCATCTACATTCCTGCAATTCCGTGGATGTCACAAATGCAACCTATGCAGCCTGAAGATGGTACCTTTGCACAGTATGCGGCAGTATGCGCAGCATCTACTGTTGCCATCCGCCCACGACATACAAATGTTGAATGTTTTACACCAGTTCGTTTGCTAGTCTTGGGCCCCACCGCCCTGTTAAACCTACACGTTTCGGACAATCCATACCTGGATCCTCCGTGCCATCGCTGTGTCCGGCGTTGTTGTTCAAAGGCAACAAAGGTGTGCGGGTTCACCGCCGGGAAGGTCGGGTTCCAAAACAGCAGAACCTTGGAGGGTCCTGATATAACTACCTTTACCTCATCCAATTCTTCCAACTCAGCAGCTTCGCTTCGTCGCGTCTCGCTGCAACAGCCTAATGTGCTCGCCACCCTTCAGCGCGCTGGTGGGGAAGTAGGGTATCCCTTCCTGGCCAAGAATGGGTGGTGACATGAGATACACAACATGGCTCACAGTACACCTCATTATGATGTCATTTCATCATGGGCTTCATCTGGAATCTGGAGGATATTCTTTAGTTTTCAGGTCTTGTTGGGAGAGTTCTACCCTAGACAAACTGCAAAAAAAAACTTCGATCCTCTTCCATGACTGCTTTCTATGACCCGTGATTGATCTAGAGACCGAGTGAACATGCCTTCGATCGCAAGGCCTCTGCTTTTAGAGCAGGTCGCATGCTTTCCACCTATCAATCTCAACCAATCGGCATGCAGAGCATGCAACGGCTGCCATCCTGATCGGCCAAAAACATGTCATCTCGCACTGCGAAGTGCTGATAAGCAAGCTCCTATGCAATCTAGACTGCATGCTGAGATCATCTTTTACCATCATCTCGCACTGCCTGACAAGCAAACATAGATAAATAAATATAATAGATCAATTAAAAGAATCAACCAAAATCCCTCCTTCCCCGAACACCTGCACCAGAAGCTTTGGAGTTTATCACTGCGTCACAAACAGAACAAACCCACCGACCCCGCACCGACCCCGCCGTCCCGGTCGGGTCGCCTCTTCGGCCCAGCGGGAGATGGGATCCAACGAGCTCTTCTGCTCCTCCGCGCACCGCACCGCACCGCTCCGCTCCGCTTTCAGACGCCCGGGCGTTCTGGAACGCCGTGGTCTTTGCACGTGAGAAAGAAGGTATACAGGTGGTTTCAGCTCTAAGGGCTTGCAGTGGCTTGAGAGGGTCGACCATGCAGTGGCGTTACCCCAAGTTGGGCGGGGCCAAGTGGATTTGTCCATCCGTCTCCTCTTTGGGGGCCCAGAACTGAATTTTGTTCAACTGAGTCCTGGGAGTCTGCAGTCCATCGAGCGGACCGCGGGACCGACCGAAACACGTGGTCGGTGCATGTCGAGTGTCGACTGCTGCGCAGGAAAAACCACTCCCAAGCCTGGAGATGTAGAAGAATTCTGGAGTTCCAAGGTAAAGTGGTGAGGTGGCACAGGGTTTCGTCCATCAACAGTAGGGATCCAGTCGTACCTTCTCAGGTACGGTGATTGGAGACACTGTTATGTAGGTGCCAAAACGTCGGGTCCAGTCGTACCTTCTGAGGTACGGTGATTGGATGATTAGGGGGGTCATCAATGGTCTACAATGAGTCAATGTCTGGGATTCCCTGTTTGACTATCGCCTCCAGAGCACCGCGAGAACCGCAGCGTCTCCTCTGAGAGCAGATCCTCTTTGGTGCCCACCAGGATGAACAAGCACTTGGGGTTGTGATCCTTAGATCGCCACTGAGTGGAGAATTACAAAAATAAAAGGATATATATATATATACACACACTACCCATAATAACAATTATATTAATAGGGAATATATAGAGTTCATAAAAGCTTATAACCATATATATATATATTGTTTCATTATTGTCGTAATATACTAGAATATAATATCATGTGGTACCTTTTTCCTGTTGTGCTCATTTCTTTTCCAATCAGATCCTCTAAGTACTACCGCTCGGGGAGCTGTCTTATCTGTTTTCGAAGGTCAGCACCGACACACTTGGTAGGTCTTCACTTGGATCAATGGGAATCTCAGGAGGAAGACTACTCTCCATTGATCTCTGAGACACCCTTTTACCAATCAAGCTGGTCATCTTTAGATAGAGACGGTCCGGTCACGCGGCCGCGGTCACGGTCAATGGACGCCGCGTTCTTTCGGACGAGCCCACTGAAACGCCCAGCTGCAGACACTTTCTTCTTCCAGAACTGGGTTCGGTCGAAGGTGGACACGTCAGACATGTCGAAGCAGAGCAAGCACACCTCGGCCGAGTTCGGCTCGCTCCGGCCACGGCCGGGAAATGCGGGTGCAGGGTCTCCTTTTTGGGGGTTCCAAGCAGATCGCCAGGTCGAAGCCTGTGGGAGTCCCACGGAAGGCACGCGCCATGTCACTTCGAACGGAATGACACCAAGCCGAACCGCGCCGACGGAAAGCCGCAGACCGCGACCGCGAACGAAAACATGTCTCAACACCTCAAATACCCCATGCCTCTCATGGTTTGGTGTCCTCCGTCAACAGTACCCACAAGACCAGTACAGCTTTCCCAACCCAACACCAGTCTGCCACCTTGCTGGAATCTCTTCATTCTTCACTTCCCACCCATACCCCTGGCACTTGGATCTCTCCCTCTGCACCCTCTCCTCTTTGGGACCCAGTCCGGCGCCTCACCCACGCGGTAGTAGCTGGCCGCCATATCGGCGAAGCGCTCCTGTCCCGCGGTGTCGTAGAGGAAGAGGTGCACCTGCCGAGGGATTCGACCGTCCCCCGAGGAGAAGGGATCAACTGCCACGAACCACCCGCCCACCGGTCGACCGACCGGCCCTACCGGCCACACCTGCGCGTGCCGCGCGTGATCCCGGGCCAGAACGGCCAGGGTTGAGAACAGGAAGCCGTTGTTCAAGGCCCCGGAACGAAACCGGACGTGATGGAGGGATGGAATGGACAGTGTGAAGTGTGAAGACTTTTCCATGTGGGAGACCGTGGAAAAAAGACACGGAGCCGTTTGGAGCTGCTGGATTAGTTCTTGGTCGGGAGAGGCCAAATCATTGCCTTGACCACCGCGTTCCACTGTCAGTTTCCAGTCATGTTGTCAAAGCTAGACCAGTGCTGCGCAGGTTGGGATGGGCATCAAATGGGACTTGCAACCACTGGTCCACTTCCGCACCCGACACCTTTTTTCTCGCCCACTTCCACGTCCCTTCCGTCCCCCGGGGCTCGCTGGGTCGCACGTACGAACCCCGGCACCCCGCGGTTTTTGGGCGCCAGCGCCTCCGTGTTCTCGACGAAGACCGCCTTCTGAAGGCAGTCACAGCCCAAGGTGGGCCCGTGCGTGGCATCGTCCGCGGCGAAGACGTTGTTGACCTCGCGCGAGATCACTCCGAGATCGGCGGATGGGATGGGCGCATCGATTTGGGGGGTGGGGGGGAGGGGAGCCCAGTGCTTCAAGCTGCTGGTAGCCCTTGTTTTTGGCATTTGTCGACTGGGACGGACCACGAAGCCTTGTTTAATTTACCCTGGGATTCGTGGCCAACCAATGTCCCAATGTCTTTATATAATGATCTTTACCAAACAACCATGGTTTGACTGAGGATTTTGCACTACAGAACCAGGTCAATCATTTCTTTTTTGGTCTTGGAAGGTCAGGGTATAGCCGTCCTTCTGGTTGTTGCTGGGGAGCTCAATGGATGCACTTGGGTGATGCACTTGGACAGTTGCCCCAACTCTCAGGTCCCATCTCCAGGATTTGGAGCGGACCCCAACTACCGGCTTTCTCAGACCGCCAGGATTCTCACTTTGGCTTCTCAGAGGTCCCGAACCTCCTGAAAAGAGGTGCCTTTCAACCAGGGTCCACCCGACCCACCCGGTCCCGCTTCGGCACCGCCGAACGGCGCCCGACTGGTCCGAGGCGCGAAGCGTTCGATCAGGCAGGTCTTCCCGGTGGCGGCAGGGCCCGCGACGATGACCTGCGCGACTGGGAAGGACGCGGGGACCCCAGGGGAGACGGGGGGACCGGGGGGTTGGCCCCAAGTCCGATTACTTTTTCGAGCAGAGTCCGTCTTACCACTCACCACTTCCCTCCAACATGTAGGACCCACGGTGATTCTTGCATATTGGATGGCAGAAGGGGCCCCACACAATGCAATATGTATCTGGGTTTCCAATGGTCTCCACACAGCACATAAACCAAAGCCATCGTTCTCAGGTTTTTCTGCCAGAGATCTGAAACCGTCAAATCAGGACCGGACCGGGACCGGGAGATGTGCGAACAACGGTCCCTTCGCGGAACTGTGGTATCCGGGACACCGCGTTTTCACGCGGGTCCAAGGCATTCGGGTCATCACAGCCTCTCAGAGTCGGCTGGCCTTGGCATTGATCCTTTTCGACATGACCAAGGCGGCCAGAGCATCTAAGGGTCTGCGGCCACGCAGCGCAGCGAAAACACGTCTTCCCCTGCCTTCCGGAACAAGTCTTGGTTTGAACTTCTCCCCTTGGGACGTCGGGTCTACGTCGGTCACCGATATTCTCAAGCTGACATTCTTGCATCCTGAGAAATGTCGTCCCCGAGCCCTTTGATTTGTGTTGACTCTGTTTATGTTTGACCCATGAACTTCTCAATCTTGTGCCAAACAGCTACGCGGCGCTACACGTTGACCCGCCAAACAAATGTCTCAATCACTTGCCGCATGCCACGTGCCGAGTGATCCTCTTGTTGCTTCATGTGGTTCATCCACCTTTAAGTGAGGACGAGCGCCACAGCGACCCATTCAAAGCAAACCAGTGACGGTGCGTGGTTTCTTTTCTGCCTGTGTCTTTCTTGTTTGCACATGTCTGCACTACCAGTTGCACAGTCAGGCTCAGATCAAGTGCGTCAAGAAGTGCCACTCAATCCAACATGATCCAAGAATCGTTCAAAACCTTTGAATTCCTCGGCCAACCCGCTTTTGACACACATCCATCTGCTCGCCCTCCTTCACCTGCCCCGACTCATTGTGAGTGCCCAGGATGGCATCCATCAGCTTCATGTACTTTGGGACGTAGCCCGCCTTCTT